ATTTCACTATATCAAGTCTCGCAAACTGTCCCTCTGTAAACAACGTGATTGTTTGCTGGGGCTTTCTATCATTAGTACTCCCCCTTTTCATCAATCATTCGCTAATTTAGATTTAGTGTATATATATATATATATATATATATATATATATATATATATATATATATAAGATGAGAACGAATAGAGTACAATTCCAACGTTCGTAACATTTAATTTAAAAGAGGGCTCAATAGAAAGTAAAGCAATATTCTTTGTTTTAGGATGTTACATGGAAAATATGTCAAAATCTCTACACTGTATATCAATTTAAATGTCCTTTGGGAGATTGCATCTCATACAAAAAAAAGCTAATAGACATGTTGGTTAATTTACAATAACGCTATCAAGACGGCTCACTCCACACATTGTCTGAAGAATCATAACCCTGAAGATGATATTTGAGTATATCGAAAGTACTCGGAAAATAAAAAATAAATAAATACAACCATTGTACCTTTCTTGATCTTTTTAATCATGGAACAACAAAGCTTATACGTGATTACGAAAGGATATTATTGAAAACAAACACATGTCTACATTGTTTAATCAGACATGTTTAAATGAATATATGTATGTGTGTGTGTGTGTGTGTGTCTGTAAAATGTGTTTGCCCGTAAACAGGTCTTGTGTAGTGCCTTAATAAACATATTATCGCAGCAGCCCGCGGGGTATAATAACAAGTGAACCCTTCAGTAACTCTTTTCCTGTTTTCACAGTTTGAAATGTGTGCCGTCGATTTTTCGTACCGACGCGAAAAAAAAACAAACAAAAAAACATGGCTGTGGACGCTTCACCCACAAACATACCTAGACACGTAAGTCACACACAGATACATTGACAACTTTTGATGTGTATTCAATTTATTTCTAGGAAAAGAAACTCTTAAACTTTCCTTTTGTTATTTTGGTTACATAAATGTTACTTGTTTTGCAGATCAATCGGTCGCTGTTATTTTGTTTATTTCACAACTATTATTTAGAGCGAACTTTTCTCATAGAGACCTTTATACGTTATAGAAGTAGCCAACATATTAAAATTGAGCGACAAGACAACAGCAAACAAACCTAAGACTTGAGTATATATATATATATATATATATATATATATATATATATATATATATATATATATATATATATGCCAAGTTTATTGTTAAAGAAACTAAATTGACAAAATATAGTGACAGTTCAGTAGGCAAACGATTTCTGCTTATTCATGGGAAAATGGTAGAAAAGAATTGTCATTAAAAGGACAATTTGGTAGTGCGGTAAGAGTGTTGTCCTGAAAAGGACAGTTTATTAGATATTGTAACTGCTGGTTCTGCTGCTGGTGACGGCCGGCTGTGGATGAAACATATACTACACTTTGATCACGGCATCTTGGTAGTGGATGACACAAGGTCGAAGAGGAAATAATAAATAGAATAAAGAGTTTTAAAATGTTCTTTTATTTTGATTCGTCATTGTAGCTTATGTAACAGCGTTTCCCCTATCGAGGGGTGTTTGGTTTATTTGAACCTTTTAAAACTTTTTATTCTACATTCAGCACCATCACTTGATAAGACACTAGAAGTGTTGAAACAAAATGGCTATTTTTGTAGTGATGTTATAACATGTTTATGTTATGATTTTTGAATAAATAATTATATATATTAATATATATATATATTAATATTTTTAACATATATATATATATATTAACATTTTTAACATATATATTAACATTTTTAACATATATATATATATTAATATTTTTAACATATATATATATTAATATTTTAACATATATATATATATATATATTAATATTTTTAATATATATATATATATATATTAACATTTTTAATATATATATATTAACATTTTTAACATATATATATATTTTAATATATTTTAATTTTTATATATATATATTAATATTTTTATCATATATATATATATATATATTAACATTTTTAACGTATATATATATTAACATTTTTAACATATATATATATTAATATTTTTTATATATATATATATATATATATATATATATATATATATATATATTGTCTGTTTTTTCAGGTTATTTTTATGCTGTCAGCTAGACAACAACGGCCAATCCTTTTAGGTGAATTTTCTTCCAGTTATTTTTTAAAATGTCGGCTTGACGGTCGAACTTTCTGCCTCTGAGTAGAAAGGAACCCGGACGAGGCTCCGCCGAAGGGCAGAATCTCGTTCAGGGAGAATGACCAACCCGAACTCGTTTATACGGGTTATACGGGCATTTTTTGGCCGAGCCTACGGGCTCGGGAAACCCACGTAAAATCTCGGCCTTGTGCCACATTCAACCTTCGTGGGGGGGGGGGGGCTACATACCGAAAGGATGCCCCCTCCCCACACATATATATGTAAATATTTGTCTACTCATTACTCCTTTTTTGTTTTTTTTTCTTCTGTAGCCATCAATAAATATTTTCTTTCTATCTTACTCTAGCGGAGCAAATTGATTTAAATCGTCACTGGGCCACAGTCTCAAAATCGAGAGCTTGTTCACTACTGAAATAAGCGAATATCCAAAACAAGGCGTTTTGCAGAAAATCTGATATTTGCTAAATACCAAAGTAGTGAGTTCGATTCTCACTGCACTGATTTATTAGCATTTAGATCAATGTCTTCATGTTTGTTGTTATCACAACGTTTCCACTGTTGTGCTCTCTATCCTTTTTTTCAGATGTCTGTCGAACCGGATCAGTACACCTAGCATAGATATAAATACCGTATAGGATCCATTAATTAAGAAAGAGAAACGTAGGTAGCCAAGATGGATAACAAGAGTAGTACACACTTAATGTAAAGAATGATCTACCCTTGTCGAATAATTAAATGTTATAAAAATTTTATTCCGTACCAAGTTCTTGTGTCAAACACAAAAACACAGCTAGAAGAAATAGCAAGTCATAATAGGTGCAAATCACAAATAAGACTCAACCACTGTGTAAAATTTTAAAGGAAAATCATTTATTATACAATTACGAAAGAGGTAAAAAATAAAATGAAAATTTCCTTTTGTGCGCCTATTAAAGCAGGATAACAATTTCTGATAAAATGATTACCATCGAAAAATGGAAAGAATTACAGTTTAGGAAAAAGACAAGGAATTTGAAAGAGACAAAAAGAGAAAATAATTCAAAAAGGCAGAAAACAAAGGTGCAACCCCCTTTCAGAAAAAAATGAAAACACCTACTTTTACTTTTACCGCGAACGTCTCTGGGACATATAGTAATTTTTGAAAAGTCGATTTTAAATTAACACTGTTGGTGCTTGCAAAAATTTCTTTAAATTCTTTTTTTTGTTCTTTGTTGTCCAACTACAGGAGAAGTTTCAGTTGAACCTCAAAATTCTTTAGTCTCTCTGCAGACTGGCTGGTAACTGGTGACTTATTGATGCTCTCTTCTTGATATCAAATGTCTTCTGCTCTTTGGTGTTGATTTGTCTTGTCCCCATGCTGTCAAAAATTTATTCTCTGCTCATCCACTATCCTGACACTATTTATTCATGAATTTAGGCTCACAAAAACTCTAATTCAAGTTCTTACTAGGGCTTAAGGCCACGTCTCTCATTGGTCAGTATATACGAAAAAATAATTTTCCATAAACTGGAAAATTGTTTCACAATTTTGGCGGGGTTTAACCGCTGAGCCGATAAAGATAAGTGTAACAATGTTTTATAAAAACTTTCTGGCTTTCATAAAAGACGCTTCTATCAAAAGAACGTGTATTAAAAAAAAACAACCTAGAGGATTACATTTATTCAAGGCTAACTTTTTAAAAGCAGTAAAAGAATAATTTTTTTTTTTATAAAGGTTCCGCTCGAAATTTCTTTAAAATTCCCTTACGCGACAAGCACCTGAAGAAGGCCGAAGGGCACAACAGCAGAAACGTTAAGAAAAATAACAATAAAGATGATGTCATTAAATAGCTAATTATACAGATTTAAAATAAAGAAACGCAAAAAGCCGATAGGAAGAAAATAGCAAACCCTAAGTTTGTGGCCTTGTGCCAGACGAAAGTAAGCCTCATCTGTTTCTCTTAGTTTACTATTTCGACATCCATGTTCTTTGCTTCGCTTTAATCTCCTTTTGTTCTTATTTTAATCATTTCACCCCAATCAAGACGATAAAGCCACTAAGACGTAAGAATATGAGAAAATATATTATTAAAGAGAAAGGACAATAAAAAACAAGAATTAAGAAGACAGTAGATAACAATCGACACTGTATTTAAATTTTTAAAGATCAAATTTGACTAGGAAGCAAGGAGACGGAAGAGAGTTCCACTAGCGAGGAGTGTGAGAGAAGAAACTGTTAGCATAGAACTTACGGTTACATCTCTAACCTAAAATGAAACCTTGTCTAGTACTGCACTTAAATTCATATAAATAGCATAAAAAGATACATTGTATTTTCCTTGCTCTTCTCATTCTCCCAACCTTTTTTGCATCCTGTTTCATTTTGTTCTTTTTTTTTTTTTCGTTATTTTTTTCGCTATAATTTTCTTTTGTTGCGTTTCATTGTTTAGTTTGGTACAAAAACCATTTGTGTGCTCCCATCCACAGTATAATTACCGGCCCAGTGAAGATTGATTCTACTCACTACATTGCTTAGAGAATGTTTTGCGAGACAAGCTCGCCGTCAAACTACGGGAGCGCCTAAATGCGTGTTAAAATAATTCCTTACACCTTACTTCTCTCTTATCTTTCTTTCTGTAGCCATCTCTAAAAATAACTTCATTCTACATTCCTTCCGCCTTTCTCTAAGTCCCTTTAATCCAACGCACTGATTGGTCAAATTCTGTGACGTCATCTACAAGTGGCATGGCTGTCGTTGTACTCGGTTTTTCTCTTCTTTAGCTGCTATTATCGGAATTAATTTAATGAAAGAATTGAAAAATGCTGCTACGGAATATGCCATGGAAAATTATGCACGAACTGCTCGTTCTAGATTATGATGGTGGCTGGGAGAAACTATGTATGTGTAAGAAAACTTTAAATAATTTGTTAAAATCTGCGCTGTTTGTAAATTGTTGTTGTAGTACTCTGACCTGTTATGTTTTTAAGTTTGATTATAGTGTTTTCTTTTCTTTTTTTTTTCAGTCATATATTTTATTTTATTTATATATATATATATATATATATATATATATATATATATATATAATTTTTGCCTTTCTGTTTTGGAGGATAAGTTAGCTTTATTTCGTATATAAAACGAATGAAACCATATATCTTCTTTTTTATTTTACGATCCAAACTGACTCAGAAATGAATTAAATTTTAAAAAATAAATCTGAAATTCATAATCTGGAACCTTTGATCGGTAGGATTTATGAAAAAAAGAAAAAAAAAAGCATATTATTTTGTTTTGACTTCCGTACAACACCTTTGCAAACTGTATTGTTCAAACTCAAACAAAAAAGAAAACTTTTTAAAATTTAATAAATTTGTTTTTATATTCGAGCTTTCGAGTACTTAGTAACATATGATAATATTTATATAAGGTTACTTTATGTCTAACAAGCAAGAGAAATTAATGGGGGCGCCCATCTCTTCTCTCTTACACACACACACTTACAAATTTTAAGCACGTTCTGATGAGAACAAAGATGAGACGTGACGACTTTTATTTTTCCAAAGAAAGAAGATACGAAAATAAGTAATGAATTAGTAATTAATTAGTAATATAAAAAAACAACTTTTTTTTTCAATTTGTTGTTTTAAAATTTAAAAAGAGCTTTATTCTCACATTATCAAGCTGTGTTATTTATTTTCTCTCTACTAAATCTTATAATATTGTAAAAATAAAATAATAGTTACGTTTTTTTACCCTTTTTAAGAAATTACGTTTGCGCTAATGAGCATATTTGTTTTTATTTTCGTAGACTAGAGGGGGAGCAATACTTCTTACAATGAATATAAATAACGAACTGATCCCCCACCCTCCATTAACTTTTATAAAATTTGATTTAAATATTTTCTTTTATTTGTGATTTGGTGTGCTTGTAATAAACAACTGAGAAAAACAATGATTATTTCTGCTCACGGTGTCTATTGTAAAAAAACTCCACCAAAAAACAGGCAAAAGCTGGACGAAATTACTCCACTCTAGAATCTTGTTCTTGTTAGAAACAGATCGCTGCTTTACCGGACACAGCCAGACACACATTCTTCATGCCTATGAGTTTTCTTTTTAAAATAATTAATGTCATTTAAAGTATATTTTTTCCTTTAAATTTAGTGTAAAAAGTCCCGCGTAAAGTTAAAGTACTAAAAATAAAATGGTTAGTTGTTACAATTTAACATGCATTTTTTTAATCTCGAGTACGTTCAGGCTCAAGTTCAGACAAATAAATGTACCAATACCATGATGCGTGGAATGTGGAGCGTATTTTTTTCGTCTCTGATCAAAATATCACACCCATGTTCAATCCTTAATCAGTGTATATCTGTATGCTCTGTGAAAGGAGCTACGCGCGCACATGCATAGGGAAATGGATTTGATTATTTTTTTAATCCGACATTACTTCAAACGTTAGTAGTGGATACCCGTATTTGTAAACGCTCCATTTTATTTTAAATTTAAACGGTATTTATTTCTTGTATCGGTCTGCACACTTGAGAGAAAAAAAACTTATTAAAAAAGATGTAACCTCCAGCAAGAGTCGAACCTGCATCCCCTTTTGCAGGAAAAACCACCATCTGATCCGGCATAACAGCTTTGAAGGTAGAACCTTGCTTGATTGTGAAGCTCGTCATAGGTTAACTTAACTCATACCAAATCAGATGGTGTTTTTTTTTCTTTTCCCTGTAAAGGTGGACGCAGGTTCGAATCCTGCCAGAGGACACACATGTTTTTTCAAGTATGCAGACCGGTAGACGAAATAAAATGCTGTTTAAAATAAAACTAACATTTATGCAAACGCGTGTATCTACAAAAAATAACATTTGAGTTTAAAGACAAAAGGAAAATTTATTTTAACCGGAACGTTTCGTCCTCTGATAGACTTCATCAAGGCAAATGTAAGGTTTTTTTTGCAACAAATATTTAAACAAAAGTAAAAATGTCAGGAACAAAATATTCTCTTTAAAATTGTATTGAAGAAAATGTTATTCCTCAATAATATTCACATAAACTACTCAAAACCTCACATTACATAATTACCTGTTTACGTGCACAAATTTCTAACATCATCTGCGTATGAATTCAAACAAGAATTAATACTTAGAAAATCGATCTTTTACATAAACGATAGATGAATTCGTAGCCTAGAAAATAAAGGAATTCAATTACTTCAGTTTCTGAAAGTAAATGGTCTGAAGACGGCAGAATAAATTTACTACAAATTTATCCAAAATTTTCCCACTGGATACACAGCTGGAAGCTCTTGACATTTGTATGTGACAGGTTTTGTCCTTTGTGACTTCATTGGAGTAAAAAGTAATGTTTTTGTTCATGTAATAATTATATGCATAGAAAAAGAAAGGGGAAGTATAAAATGCAAATTTATAATTATGTGCATGTACATTTTTGGTTGTATAAAATTCATGTATCAATCTCTCTCTTATATATATATATATATAATATATATATATATATATGTGTGTGTGTGTGTGTAGGTATGTAGAAAAATAGGAAAGAACACGTTAAGTAAATAATCCAGGGTTCTTTAGTATTTTTGTTTTTATTTTTAAAAACATTGCTCCATACAGAAGTAGAGCTTAGATTTTAATTATTTTTAAAAAAATATGATTCCTTCACTACATAAGAGTTCTCATGTTTCAAAAACGAGAGCCGAAACCATCAATATAATTATTAAAATTAAATTGATTTAAAGTAACAAGTCCTGTTTCATCCTCGCTTAAAATTTAGGAATAACCAATTTTGAAGTTTACATATCATTATAAGCATGTTCATTCATTACTATGGAAACGGCTGGGGTGACCATTTTTGATAAGGGGTCTAAGAGTTAATTTTTATCCACATATCAGTCACCTTCGGGGGGGGGGGTCAAGCTGAGGTAGGGTGGGGTGTCTATTTCAAAGCGAATGATGTCTTTCTTGTACGCACATCGTCTGTTCATTCACAGAGGAAGGTAGATTTTAGCACCATAGTACAAAAATAATGAAAATTATGTGATTGTAGAAACCCTGAAGACTGCCCGTTGGAAAATAAATGCCTCATAAAATCCGTAGTAAACTGATGCACTATCTCATCCATTGAGAGTCCAAACCCCAATAGGATATACATTGGGTCACTGATTTTAGTTTAGAATTTTTATTAATACTGTTTTGGTGCGCGTGTGTTTCCACGATTTTATTATTATGTTTTTTTATCATTCTTTCTAGATTTTCAGTGCATCTGTAACTTAATTTTAAGGTGTTTTTATTAAAGATCTCGCTAAGTCTGCTTTTAGTAGGGGAGAGTTTTTCAATTAAAGCTAGGAACTTATGTCCTAGCTTAGTACTAACCATTTGGTTGAACGGAGGAGTATACCAGATGATTTTTCTTTTCCTGTTTTTCTTTCTGTTAGTAATATTGTTTCTATAACTTATGTTAGCGTTTTTGTATCCACTATTTTTTAGGGCTGTGTTATAAAAATTACTATGTTGTCGGAATATTTCCTTATTAGCGGAGTTCATGCCGATTCTTTTCTCTATTGATGTGGGTATATGCTTAATTATGGATGGAGGGTTGTTTGACTTAGGGTGACATACACGGGATTAGTGTTAGGTTTTCTGTAAGGTAGGTATATGTTGTCCATTAAGTCTAGAGTTACTTCGAGGAACTTTACCCTTTTTAATTTAGTGTTGACTATAGCTTTTAAATTTAGTTTTCTGAATTCACTGGATATTATCTTCCTAATTTTATCTATTTTAAAATTTGTGGAGCTCCTCGCTACCATGAGCCCATCATCCCTGTATAGCCCGATGTCCTTAATGTCTAATTCACGGTGCACGGTTAGATTGTACAGTATAAATAGACCGACAAGGTCAGAAGACTCTGCAGAGTCTAAAGATCCCATGGTAATGTCAAAATTGTCATTAGTGTTTTTAATCCATTGGTTCACATCTCTATCCATTTTTTCTATTTTTGGCGTTTAAAAGAAATGAATAAAACACCAAAAGTAAAATGGAAAATAATAAATAGAACAAGAACTTGTAAAACTGGGATGACCCATGCCCTTTATGCCTACATGAAAAACTACACATAATTAAGTTTCTAAATAATGAAAAATTATTAAACCATAGACATGAGTTATCGGTTTTTTGCTGACATCAACAAAATTTTGCATTAAATAATTAGCATAAAAAAATAAAATCAAATTTCATAGTTTAATAAAAGGCTAAAAAGCTTAACTCAATCATTAAAAGAAAAAACCCTTTATGAAGTCGTCAAAAAAACAAATTGTAGTTCAGTGCGATGCATTTATATATGAAACAGTCCATTGAAAATAAATAAATAAAATAAAACAAAATTATCCAGACACTTAACATCATACTATGGTGCCAAAATCTCTTCCTCTGTGAATGAACAGACATGCGCAAGAAAGACAAAATTTGCTTTGAAATAGACACCCCACCCTACCTCAGCTTGACCTCTCCCTGAAGGTGACTGTGTGACTACTAACACACACACACACACACAGTGTGTGTGGTTTGATTTAAAAGGTTGGAAGCTTAACCCCATTCATGACTTCAATTCTTACATGCCCCACCCCCAATTTGTGGTTTTGTGTAAAAGGTCATGCTTTCTACTACTTGTAAATAACTTATAACAAATAAGCAACAAGTCAGATTCTCTCACTCATGTTCTATGTCTAGATGAACACAGACATTTTACAAAAACAATACCACCTTTGTTTACTGTGGTGACACTTGGTTTAGTAAGTAAGTAGCCTCTCAAATGAAAAGGGACAAGAGCGGAAATATATTACAACTAGCAACATGACCCGGTGTTGCCCATGCTTGATT